ACATATGACTGTGCTGGATACAACAATGGAGGATATTGACTATAGCTTATTCACTCCAAGCAATCGATGCTAGTGAAAGATGAGCCCTGATCTTTACAAATCCACTCATTACTAAATAAGATCAGCTAAAATTATTAATTATGATATTGTTTCATGTAATTCAAATAAGATGCTAGTATTTTCGTTCAAACCTCTCCGTTTCACACAGCCTGGTGATTCCACAAATAAAAATGGAATTTCTATTTAATTTGATATCCAAACACGATAGGAGCTGCCGATACGCTCGAATAGGTTCTATATTTCCAGTGCTCCCACAAAAAATCAACTCTAATAATAAACAATAATATCCATACAAATCTGTCATGCGTAGCAAGTTCAAATGTTTCAGTCAGTCGTGACATAAATACACTCAAAAATTCAGGGTTTTTGAAACTTATGGATGTTTGCCACCACATTTGATATTATATACGTGAGATTTTACCGAAAAATTCCTGTGGACGATCCACTGTTGACTAGCTGATGCCTTCCGTCGTCATATTAAATTTAATTACCACGTTTTTCTTCTCTTCGCTTCGTATTCGTCTGTTCATCGTCAGAAATTCAAACCTTAATTTAGAGCAATTCTGAAGATCCTAGAAACTTGAAATTTGGAATGCATGCTTATGCTGCCTAAGAATTCAAGATTTGATCATCAGATGTAATAAGTTTATAGTAAAAAACGTTAAATTAATTAACTGAATTTTGTATGGAGAGAAAAAATTCACGCTCGGGAATTGAGTTTTTGTCGAAAACCAGAGTTGCCAACCCTGGAAAATGATTTGAATTTCTAAAATTTCTACACTAAAAAGTAGAAAATAAATAAATATGAAAAGAAACATTTTTAAAAGCCACGTTTTTCTGGAGGTTACAAAACTAAAAACAATCAAATTAAAACAAATGAAAACAAAAATTTAAAAACCACGTTTTCTTAACGGACAAAAAAGAAACATTAACTTTTTCAGTGAGTTGTCCTAAATTTTATTCTTGACCAAAAATGAAGTCTAAAGTTTATTTTTTCAAATCTTATGCTGAGAAAACACAAAAAAACGTGGGGCGGGCTTTAAGACACATTCATTACCCAAGTTCTATTCATAATACTTAATCTGTTGCTCCTCAAAATATATGATATTTAGATCTTCACAGTGCCCGCCCCACGTTTTTTGTGTTTTCTCAGCATTAGATTTGAAAAAATAAACTTTAGACTTCATCTTAGGTCAATAATAAAATTTAGGACAACTCACTGAAAAAGCTAATGTTTCTTTCTTATCCGTTAAGAAAACGTGGTTTTTAAAAGTTTCTTTTTTTTCATCGTTTTTAGTTTTGTTACCACCAGAAAAACGTGGTTTTTTAAAATTGTTTTTATATTTATTTATTTGTACGTTTGGGTTACCCACAAGACATTCACTGAGGTGATAACACGGTACCTCTCAATTAATTTCATGATGTACTGTTAAAAATTTCCTAATTTCTTCAGTTGTACGATTTGCGTATACTTTTTCTTCATACCTATCGATGAGTCTGGATCTGTAAACAACGTCGTCAGCTGTCAGACTTGGCGGTGGAAACATCAATTTATATCTGCACCGGCAGGTGTGTGTATAGGAAGCCACCCTTTCCTAATTTCTATACTTTGGTTTGATTGATCACTCTTTGTTTTTCGTTTTATTTATTGTTGTTGAAAGTTCATGTTCGCTCTTTCTCTCATTAGAAGAGGGCCGACTCCAGTGATAAATTTGGGCTTAGCCAGTAACGTACTTGTGACACGGCCACCAAAAACGTCGACGTTTATTCGTCTTTGTCGTCAACGAACCAGTTCCGATACCGCTATCAAACCTTATTTCCGGAACTTAGTCATTTTCTGAATTTTCTTTGGTTCTTTAGATTTCTCTAGCTTATGTTCGTGTCGCCTACGTATCAAGTTCTGAAATAAAAGTGTAATCGGTTATATTTTATATCAAAGCCTAACAGTAATCACAGTTCTTTATATTTATTTATATGAAGCCATGAATAATTTGAGATGAGGCAAGACAAGATGTTCTGCAGGTCAACAAATCACTGGACAATAAATACATAGCAATATTGTTATAGTTACATTCATAGTTAGACATGGCAATGTCACAACACAACTCAATACAATCATGAATGTGTTCTGTCCGCGTATTATTTTGGAACCTATATTTTGACACGCCAAATGTCATAACCACAAATTTAGTTACGCGAATAGACATTTCTGCAGATGCTATGTATGACATGATACACCTAATTTGTTCTCCTTATCCTGCCCTAAATTCTCACCCAAGTTCCTGTTCCCCCAGCAGTTATCCAAGTAAACTCCGTACCGAAAATGATGCAGCTTATTTAGCGAACTGGAACTCATGGTCAATGGTTCCCCAACTTTTTGCGATCGAACACCACTTGAAGCCGAAGGTCCCGTACGAACCAATAAGTACCAGTTGTATACCATGCACTAATATTTTAGATTAGCCGGTAATCTTTAGTTTCAGTAGCATCTTGCTTAATGCGCTAATAATTAGCTCAAATAGTCGGAATGTCGTTTGACTATGACGGTGCACTGCTGCTAGGACCAGGTGGGTGCCGTGCGTGCCGCTGGGACCGGGGGGCAATCCTGAAGGTGTAACTATTACCGTGATAAGCAGCTGGGCTCTGGATAATATTGCCAACCAATTTGGCGGGAGCTGTTTGTTCTCTGCTCGAGTGTACTGCCTTTTTCAGGTGAGACTCTTCCAGACTCTGTAATCTTTGGTTCTGTCTCTGTAGCTAAAGACTCAAAAGACACAGCATGAGCAAATGGTTGATTGAGAGAGGGTAAAAGACTGGTCAGGAGCAAGGGTGGACATCCATTGAAATGTTTTTCCTTAGCAATCATTGTCACTGCCTCTACAATGTTGATAATGGCAGTATTGCCAACTTGCCACATAAGTACAGTAGATTTGGGGGCTGCTGACAGTGCATCGTGCTATAAAAAGAGAATTTAAATTGGAAAGTAAAGAAAATGAACCACGTTTTCACTGAAATCGTTTCAGAGATCATCCTCACTATCAGCTCAATGTATTGGAAGACTAAATTTGTGCCTTTTCAAAACGGACGATACGGACGAAACGGACTAAACTCGTGCCTTATAGGGATTAAAACCTAAAAGATCGTGACATGACGAGGTACGGTAAAGATGATGTAGAAGCTAGACCGAAATGCATCTGGGCATAAATAACATCCTCATGCCTGAATAAGGATCCTCATGCCTTTAAGGATCTTTAAGGAGACCAGAAATACAGGCAAATTAAATTAGGAAAATATTTCAGGAAAAAGACTCTCCATTCTCTGGACGTTTTGGAGGAAGTGTCAAGGTATTGTAAAAGGCAAGTCTGATTAGATTATTTCAAATTCCACGCATACATCAGAACAGAAACGTTGTCTTTATTACGGCAATATTTTTTATCCGTTTCGTATCATTAATGAATAGGTTTTTGTGCTAGTAAACATTCTATTGATAAATTCCTGTTTTCATCTATGCTTCCTACATACATAGATCAGTTTGATTGTACTTCTATCATTGAATTTCGTCAACATCATCGATTGACGATGAAGCTGGTGTACGAAATATTTTCAACGAAAATGTGGTGAATTGTTTAGCACTTTATTTACAAATTGATTCATGGTTAATTATCAGTGTAAGCAATAAAATACTTATTCATGTACTACAGTTGCCACTATTTGACGAGGCTCGCGCTCTCTTAACCCGCTCGTGTAGTGTAATCAATGCTTCATGCATGTGCATTCTATTATTTTACAAAGTATTCATTGACTGTGCAGTGCTAGGAAACGCCCTAAGAACCAAACTCTCAGATCTTACTAGATTTTTCGTCCGGAACAACAATCAGACATGAATTCTGAAGTAACAATTTGAATGACAGTTGATTTGCTGTTAGCGTCAATTTCACCTCTGATAGGTACATGACATAGGTACATGTGAAGTTTAGTGTCGGCACCATGCCATGGGCCTATTTTTTCAGTGCCGACACTTCTATTCTATTCTATGAAAGGCAGATCAAGTGTTCCGTACTCCTGCATTTGTTGTGATTATTCTCCCCATCAGCTGCACACCACACATATTATCTTGTCTGAGTTTGTGTCTGTGTTTGAAACTCGTCGCCGAAAATATGTCAGCCGTATTGAGGGCTGTTTGGGGGGCGTCTACACGATAGTTTCGTGTCGGGATATTTATATACTGGACATGAAAATTTATTCTCAGTGAGAGCATAGTAAAGCAATGGACTGGAAGGAATTAGACGGGATTGGAATGGACTGGATCGAAAATTTAAATTTGATCTTGAAATTGGTTCACATAAGTTAAGTTTTCAAAGTCGCTAAATAAATTTTTCATATTTGAAAGGTTAGTCAAGTGGGAGTTTGATGCTAAGTTGAATGTAGCAAAGTCTCAGTGGAATGTGATGAATGTGTGTTTCTCGAATTAGCACAAATAAGCATTATTACTATTAACAGGATTAGGAATGACGAGATAATGAATAACAGAGTTCAAACATTATAAGTATTATCAATCCCGGGCAATGACAGGCTAACCTCACATACATTATTACATCCATTCGTTAAACTTGATAACTTCGTTTGTTTGAAGCCTGGCACTTGATATATTAATAGGGGCTATTCGGGCTCGTATCCACGATACTATTTACTATTAGTGACGAGCCATTAATAATAAAATTCCCGTATTTAGTAGTGAATTAAAAAAAATCGAAAACTAGGGGGACCGAAAATAAATTTTTTTATACGTTTAATGTAAATAAGAATGTGAAGCTTCCGTTAAGATTCGAAATGGAGCAGACTCTATGACTCAAACAAGGAATTGTTTGCAACAAATAAATGTAATTTATTCACTGCCTCAAAAAATATTCAGAATTCAAGGATGGAATCATACAATTAAATTTCTATGACGTTTTCATTAATGGCAAGACGAGGGTACGGTGGCGTTTTCCTGGAAATCGTGTTGACCGCTGCCACCAGTTCCCTTGAGCTGCCAAACCTGACCAAATTCCAGCATTCAAGACGAACAATAATGCGATGTTCGCCCCGAATGGTTGCAGGATGACACTTGAACAAGATCAGTTCAAGCCTTGGGCGTATGGCTCTACAGAGTTGGTCGTGAGGTAGTACTCAATGGTAGCTCTGCTCGTAGAAAAAATTTTGTTCAGTCTAAAATACAGGCACGTAAGTGGTACGAATGATTTTTATTTAAAAACTGTTAAACAAAATTAGATCAATTTGGTTAATTTGAAATTCAAAAAGTTTAATTATTAATTTGGCACTCAAAGTTATAAACAACCAAGTGTCGAAATGGCTGCGGGTGAAAGGACCAACCCGATGCTAATGCCGGAAATGTCAGCCGGGTAGCCCATCTCAACGCAGCCGTTGCCACAAGAGCTGCATTGCCCAGCATCGTAGGTCGACCAGTCCGAGCAAGGCTTCGCCCAGAAAGTCTTGTCCGTTGGTTTCTGAGCTCGTATGCTCTCTACCCAGTACTCCGGAGCTCGGCCGTGACTGCAACTCCCTGAAATAATAGTACTTTGCTGAACATGTACTGCTACAGGCTTAAATAACATCTCAATTTCGAAATACTGTGAATTTAGATTTGATTTGTGTTGTGAGTACTCGTTAAATTGTATGTATGCTGCAGATTCTCACGTTATAACGGGATCAGACATGGTGCAATCTTTTTGTCCGCATTTCTACAGAAGCTCTGATATATTACAGAAAATTCACCTCAAATTCAGTCTTAAAATGCGTAGCAAATTACGAACCAGGCAGTAAGTCCAGCAGCTATCTCAATCAATCGTCAGTTATGGAAAGATCGGGTTCCAAAGGCCGGATCCCTTGTGAATCAAGTCACGAAAAATTCAAGAATCAGCAATAGGCCATGGGCCTATTTCTTCAGTGCCGACACTTCTATTCTAATACAGCTGTAGCTCACCTGCAGCCTGCATGTTTCTTCCTTTTCTAAATTTTACACATGCACTTTGCAGCATTTTCATTGCAATTATGATCAAGCATATTCTTAGTGATTACCAGGATAGTTGAAAAATGTTTTTTGACATTTTCATGCACGCACCAACGAGGTCAAGAATGTCGGAGCTGTCGGGGTCCGTGCAGCCTGGCTGGTGGGCGCCACCGTTGGGATAGAAGTCGATCTGCCCAACCTGTGCAGTCATGCCCAGACAGCCCTGAGGAAGTAAAATTTTACAGTTTTATTCGCGTGAAATAATTACTTAAAAATATTCGATCAGAATATTTTTAAGTAATTATTTCTTATCAACCACACGTTCGATAAAAAGACTTATCAAACGTGTGGTTGAGTACAAATCAACCGACTAGTTCGTTTTCGGCTAATGAATTTATTATTAATTCAGTATTTTTAAAAGCTGGGCGAAAATAACTGCCTTTTTCGATGGTTAAGTTATTGGCACATATAAAGCGTTTTTAACGGCTTATATGTATCAGTCGTTAGGGTTGCTGTAAAAATATAGTGGGGTTAGCTGAATCCATGGAAAATTCGCCTCACATCAACAAGCGGGCCCGCGTTGCTGTGGATGATGTCGACAAAGTTAGCGCTGTTAGGGTTGATGCGTTCCGACGCTGAGACTCCATCGAAAAGTGGTGCCGCGGGGTCCAAGCCTGCGCATTAGAAACCCGCGGGGGGTGTTTCATTTCAGCAGATCAATCGAACTTTTTACCAAATAACATATAGAAAGTTTAACAAGTTGGTCAATTATTTAACCAACATTTTCATGGCAATTTGCTAATGATTAAAATAACTCGTTAAACCCAAACAAACGTACAATGCTACAAGATATACAACAGGTATGTAGGTATTTTACGACTTCAGAAATTATTGCCTGTTAAATTATATGTTGAGAGATACAATTCTCAACTCTTCACCGTGGCCCCTCAAGATTGCTCACCCGTGACGCGGTTGAGCTTTCCAGCCGTGACGTAATTTCCAGTCATCCCAGCACACTGGGCGCCGAGGCTGTGACCAGCAAGATTAGTCCTTCGGAAACTAAGGCCGACGTTAGCCACCATCCAGTCGAGCAGTGAGGCCGTGAGCTCTGCTGTTTCATAGACCCCGGCGACTGCAGCGACGTAGTCAGGAGCGGCTGCCAGTTCTCCCCAGTCTACTGAAATAACATTGACGTCTTCGCGGTCCAGTAGTGCGTTCTTTGAGTCGATTATCCACTGTGTCTTGCCGTCAACTGTGAAGCCGTGGAACTCGATGTACGTAACCTTAGAAGCATCGAAATTTGAAGCGGCAAAACTGTCGGCGTTGAAGGCCTCCAATACGTATTCAATGTTGCGATTGGACCTCGTCCAAAGCAGGAAGTTTACTTGGTCTATCGCAGCTTTGACTTCTGGTTTAGGCCCAGGAACTAGCAATTTTTGCCAGCCGTCTGCCCAGTTTTTAGACAAAGACACGAGACGCTCTCTAATCTTTGGACTGTAGTCAGCAAACGAGACTTCAGGCTCCAGTTTGCTGGTGCTCATGCCTGCTGACACTGCCGCCATGCAGGCCAGCGCTAGCAGTACTCGACGGTTCATTACTTGGTAATTTTTCGTTCCCTGTGAACGGAGAGATTCGGTAATTTGTCGAGAAGTTATTTACTTCTCTTTTTCGCCGTTCGTAGATCCTATAATTACAAACGCGACTATTACAGTAACAGAGCCTTCAGACATTCTGTTCTGCAAGGCCGAAATGGATTCATGTCGTATCATTTCAACTCCTGCGATTTGTTTGATCTCATGTTTGGGTCATTGTAATAAGCTATGAGTTTTATTCGTTCTTTTGTTCTTTGTAGCCGGAAAATTTTCATGTTAACATATTTTTTAAATAAAGTAAATTTTCAATTAAATACTAATTTGAATGCGTACTAAGATTTGATATTATTTTGTACACAAGATGAGGAAAAATTTGTCATTAGTTGCTGAAACTTTTTTGTCAGAATGGCGGTAGGATCATTATTTAAATTTAGTACTTAACAATTTTCGTTAGTAAAGACTTGAAACATTTTCAATCAGGCATTGTGTGATAGTCACAAAAAAAATTCTTCATATGCTAACATTCGAAGCAATCTTCATTCACTAAAATTTATAGTTTAAGTTAAATGAAGTGACCGGAATACTTACTAAGACTCAGAAGCTAAACGACGGCGCGTCAAATGCAGTCGCAAAATGCCTTTCCCTCTTTTTTGTCATGTTAGTCCCCGTTATCGCGTGTGAACGAACAGAAGGTGGGATAACATTTATGCTCAATCACTCAAGGCCGCAAAAAATTGTGATAATTATTTTAAATTTTAGTTTGATTTTGAGTTGCTCTGACATGAGCTATTGTCCCAAACAATAATAGTTGTAAGTCCAGGATGGGGTGGAAACCTGTCAATTCTTCATGCTATTTGAATGAATTAATTATAATTGGATACACTGAAGTTCTTCAAACTGTCTGTATCCTGTTTTTATATTGGCACAGCACGAAGCGCATGAAGGTTATGCAGCTGTCGCTTCGCAAGCCAAACGATCGGAAAGCTCCCACACTTGGTCATCTTCACAGAAAAGTCCTTGGGTATTAAATTACTACGAACTACTGAGTAAAATCCCCCTTTTAAGCTAAAAATGCGTACCACATAGTTAAATTTTAAGTGGAATATCGCTTTTGATTGCTGTCAGCCTAATCTCTATGTAAAAATGTCTCCCGTAAAAATAGCTGGAAAATGTGGTCATTCGTATCTATACCTTACCAATAACTTTACCTCAAATCCCAATAACCCAGTATCGAGATGCATTTTCTTTTCAAAAGTGCAACCTGTCAATTCGCACAAATGTGTAAAAAAGTTTTAAACATTGCTGGTGATAAATCTCTTTACAATATAACGAGAAACTGACGTTGAAGTCTTTTTCAATTCAATTTCATCGATACTCCATTTCAGTACAAATTCAACGATACTACGTACTTTTGAAACAGAATTAACCCATGATCAATTATTTTTATACGAGTACTTTTAAATTCTCAACAACAGTTGTTAAAATTACAACAACGTTTGAGCCGCCAACAATTCATGCGTGTAGGAAACAAATAGTTAAGTCTAATGATAATTTCGTGCAAAATTGTGATAGAATTTATCAATAAAACCAGATTTGAATCCTATACATTATCTTTTTCTTTCCAAATATGTTTCATCAGCAGTTCAGGATACTATTTTCCCATGATGTGCAGACGTGGGCGGCAATGTTCGTTTTAATTCACTGTGCTGTTTATTGATTGCATTAAGAAATGTTCCCATCAGTTTCTTCAGTATATCTTCGTAATGAACACTTACTGGTTGAAATGACGCTGGAATAAAACTGACCTTATTACAAAAGGATGCCTTGATCTTCATGTTATCCCTAATCCTGATTATTGTGGCTTTAACTCGTTTTCATCTCGGACATGTTTCGTTTGGTTTGTATTATCAATTTCTGCGTGACTGTTCATTAATTGATACAAACGTGACCGCTATGTATCAATTATCTCATTTAAGAGGGGAGTAATGTTCAGCCTAATTTGTGAAGAAACTCACAAATTAGCATCATCTGGGTTTAGGTCCCGATGGAGGGGCCTGCATAAGGTAGATGCAAGCCCAAGCTCAAACGGGAAGTGTAGAAGGCAGCAGCAGTTATTTAAGAAACTTCTTGCTTCAGGATTCCCAGGATTTTGCACAGGATTTGATTACTTCCCTTGGGCCTGCATCCTGTGTCGAAGACTCTTCTTGTGTGCGATCAAGATGATGCTAAGCAATAAGAGATGGTAATTATAATGCATAATATGGACATCAATCTCATATTTGTGCATGTGCTTCACTGCATAAGCAATTATCCCACATGACTCCACTTGCTAAGGATGCATGTGAGAGGCCAGCATTACCAATATCAACATCACTTTTATATTCCTTCCCGTGCGCAATCATGCTACTGAGTATAGTAGCCAATGAAATCAAGTGTTTAGAGCCGTAAGCCCGCAGCCACTGCTCCAGCCACGCAGTATAGTGTTCATGGAGACTGAAATTCCTCACTCTACGCACCGGACGGGTTCTCCTGGCAGTCTACATCGACCCAGCGTTGCCAGATGGTATATTTCCATACCAGATTTCACAAATCTGGTATTTTCAGAAGGCGTCTGGTATGAATATTTTAGATCTGGTATATTTGCCTAAATCCTGTATTTTTCTGGTATTTTCTGACTTACTGCAAATTTACTGCATTAAGTTCCACCCCTGAAGTTGAAACTTCCTCCAGCGTAGGCGTGGATTATATAGATTACCTTCAGACCGGCGCGACTAGAGGTTTCCCGTCATTTTGGAACCGCAAGTTTACCGCTTGATGAAATAACCAAAATTTAATTATTAGCATTTAACCAAAGTGCTTAGTGCAATATAAGCACGAGAGTGATGATCCTTGATAGATTACTGATCAGTGATAATATGGCCTAGGACGAGTGAGGTTGTCAAACCGATTTCTGCGACGCATGCTCCACCATTTTTGTTTGGTGGTTTTGAATTCTAGAGTGCCACTTGAATTCTGGGGTGCCATTTAATATTTCATTGATATTGGAAATCATAATCCATTCATGGAACTGGCTGCCTACTGCATCACTTGTCTACTTTGACCTGTCTCCAATGCATTCGTGTTGCAAGTGTTTTCACAAGTGACCTATGTGAAAAACAAGCAACGAAATAAAATTTCAAATAAGGTACTGGAGTCCCTTATTCGGATCAAAGCTATCTGCTCAACCGCAACAAGTGATCACACCCGAAATGTTAGATTAATGCAATATGCAAGCATGTATGAAAATAAGGTAAAGGAAGATGACCTGTTTCCGTGGCTTGCTCATGTTGAGCGAAGGGGAGGAAGTGCCACACTGACACTATGATAAAAAAATGAAAGTGTCAATGTAATCAAACGCAGGAAAAGGATATTGTCAAAGTGTTCCAGACAGAGGGAAAAAAATATAACGTGTTCAATTTGGCTCATTATCGTCAAGCCAGATAACTGCACAGAACATAAGATGAATTTTTTTCTTTTTCTAACCAACGTTTCTGACGAATAATTTCAATAAATTTGGAGGTAATGGTCTGTTTTTGAACAATAGAATTTCTGGTATATTTATGGTATTTTGAGCTAGGCAATCTGGTATTCTCGCCAAGAAAAAACCTGGCAACACTGCATCGACCGTAAGGCAGCCTTCGATTGTGTATGTTATCTGGCATACTTTATAAGCTAGCACAAGCTGGAGTTGAAGGTCGCATCCCAAATAAAAATTGAGAGTGGAGCACCTATGTTTTTATGGTGGCTATCGGCGGACCCCATAGGTGGAGCTTATATGATTTATACAATGAATTAAGGGTGGCGTGCACCACCTATCCCACACCTATAACCTGCCAATGGCCACCACACCCGTAAAGCTCTTCGTACGACGTACATCAATAACTACCCATTGACACCGGTGGCGCATCAATGAGCCACCAGTGGCCACCTTTAAAATGAATTCAATAAAAAATTTTCCTTTAGTTTCAAATCCGATGCTTCTGCATTTACTGATATTGCATCACCCAATCACCATTCTAAGTGCTACGTATGCAAATCTACCATGGCAGTACAAGTAACAATGTCAGACATGTAACTACGGTCTCCCACACGCGAAGCAGAGCCTCTACCGTTGCGCCATCGGAGAGGCCATGGCAGTCGAGTAATTTTAAAAGATTTAACTGAAGTATTGCAAATATTAATTTCATCAAATGAGCAAAGTTAATGCTACCACCGTGATGATTAGATGGCTTCATCACCAATTTTATTTGAACATGCTACTACATTCGAGTAAACACCCGCTGAAAGAAACTTCATTTATCCGTAACGAACGGTGGTTCAGCTCAGAGTAAAGGCTACGGGAAAATGCTTAACAAGTATCGAAGTTCATAATGTCAACATTACACCAATTTTGACAGCGGCTTAATTCGATATATTTTCACCAAGAATATTCTGACGTGAAATAAGGAATTGATATTACACGATTATTTGAAATATCAGACGTGAACTATCTGCACCACTTCTAGTCACAATTTTTCTATAGCTTAATCTTTAGTCTAAAGAATTTTAGTCTTTAATCTAAAGTCTAAAGCAGTGGTTCCCAAAGTGGGCGATATTGCCCCCCTAGGGGCGGTGGAAAGATTTTGGGGGGCGATAAGGAAGAAGAGGGCGATATGGGGGGGGCGGCTGTCCGAACTCAATGTCAGAAGTTCGAACGTTTGTTAGACGATTTGTACACAACACGTGCAGCACATGACTCCCAGAGATGGTTTTTTATGTTTTTTTTTAACCTAGTTCTCCTGGGTTTACGTCTCGGACAAATTAACGGCCGGAATCGAGGCCGGTCTCACGGCCAATTTTCAAATTCAATAATCAAGGAATATCTCTCAAACTAATGAACTTAACTCGATGAAACTTGGTACACTTATTCATTAGGACCTAACGGTAATGTTTTGCTCGTGAAAATTGTTTGAATTTTGCCATCGTTCGTTTGTGCCATAATGATATGCCAATACGGGCCGAAATTCACAGTGATCAAGTAATTTCTTCCAAACTACTGAACAGATACGAACGAAATTTTGAATTTACAGTCCTAACTAAAAATTTTTCGATTGTGCCTTCGTTCGCGAATTTTTTTAACACGTTTTTCTTTACTCAGCTTCGCGTTTGTTTGTTTGTTTGTTGTTAACATTGACAACGAAAATTAGCCCACTTCAGATTGCTCTAGGGATCTGAAATTCGGCATGCAGGCTATTTTCGCCTAACAATTTCATATACAATCATAGAAACTAGCAATTAGAGACCTAAAATAGCTTAATTGAGTAAAGTATATATATAGTATATATATAGTATGGCGTGCGGGCGCTCACGTTATAGACGAGAAGGCGCTGACGCTGCGTATCATCGATACGTACGTCAAGTCATACTTAATCAAGTCTTAATCGTTTTTTGTGGACCAAAAAGTAGAAATAAAATACTAAAAAAAAACTTTTCAAAAAACCACGTTTTTCTTGTGGACTAAAAAGTAGAAAATAAATTATAGCTCGCTCCAAAAAACGTGGGTCGGGCTGTACGTTCACCATCAAATTTCCAAAATTCGTGTACGTGTTGTGTGCTTTTCGCTTTAATCATA